ACTTTGTAGTACAACTTTAGTACGCGGAGTATCTGGCGAGCTGGACGTTGAGAACTGGCGACTGTGTAGTACAACTGCAGTACGCGGAGCATCTGGGGAGCTGGAAGATGAGAATTGATTGGCGACTTTCTAGTACAACTTTAGCACGCGGAACAACCTGTGGAGCTGGAAGCTGAGAACTGGCTACTTTGTAGTACATACACTTGTACATGCCCAGTTGGTTCAACACGCCGTTGTGGGCTGCTGATCTTGTCGTGGCAAAGATACAACCCAGTACGCTGTTGTGAGCTGCTGATCCTGCAGGGGGCACACACCTTACACACGTGGAATCCCGTGGGTCAAAAGTCCGGAGCGCGTGCGTTTGACTGGAGGACGCGCATGTTGTAGAGAACGTGGACACTCCTATAGGTCAATTTCTTCTTATATGAAACTTCCGCCGCCGGCTTGCCCGGGAACTACTTGTACTACTAGCGATGCACTTATTACATTCTTATCTTTCCTTTGACCGAAAACACGAACTGAATACACCTTCCATGAACATTCCGAAAGCCAGAACGAACCTCTCACAAGCCGTCTGAAAAACTCCAACTGACCTCACCTCGAAATGATCCTGCAAACATCCTGAACACATTCTGAAAACCATTGAAAACCCTCCTTTGCCCAAGGTGCAGTTGAATCTCCTTGATGCTTCGATCCAGCTGCGCCGCGGCCGCCGACGAGCTCCACTCCGACGACGCGCCGCTGGACGTCGACGCGGCGGCCGAGCGCGAGCCGCTGGAGACGGAGCGACGGCTCCGGGGCCGCGGGGCGCTGAGCAGGGGGATGAAAGGCGAAGGGTCCACCGTGCAGTGCTCGGGGATGCCTGACTCAGCTCCCGGCGCGTTTCCTTTTTTTCGAGCAGATGGGGCTTCTGCTGAGTCGGTAAGTATTGTTTGGTGCATTGCCTGAGATGAAATTCTTTTGCAAGAGGTTGGGGGTCCCTGACAATGATAATGGCTAGACCGGACCTGCAACCCGCAAGACCGAAACAGGATTCCCCAAGGCCGATTTGGAAAAAACAGTGGCCAATATGCACAGATCAGTTTTCGTCGTTTCTTCAATGTGTCAGAAAGATCTGAATGCCTGAAGAGCTTGCTAGCTGCTAGGTGTTGCTTCCGCGCGGAGTTTCGGAAGACCACCCCTTTGGTCCTTGGGGCAAAGCTATATAGGACTATGATTGATGGTCATGGCACCCAGGATTTGTGCCAAAAGACCCAAATGGCTCTGGAATGCCCTCCCAAACGTGCGTCACCAAATGATGGCTTAGAAGGGTTTAGGTTCTGACCCGAAGCCTTTCTACATGGTTTTCGTTAGTTTTCATCCAAAAAGAACCAGTTCATATCCTTCAGCAGTCCATTCCTTGTGAACACCAAGATGCTAGTCATCTCAGCGGCAGCCGACTTGGAGATACCAATGAGGTGCCAGTGGGAGCATCCCAATGTGCTTTGTGGTACATTCACGTGGAAGACTTGAGCCTCACACGGATTAGTTCCGAACAAGTACACACCAAACTTCGGGTATAGGGATATACCCTCCCTCCAACAACCATGGAAATGGAAAATGACCCTATGTTACTGACTCGGACGGTAATCAAACAATTCATTGCTCTTTACATGTCTAAGTACAGATTCTACAAAAATAAAGAACGACCAAGTATTTCTGATTCACTTTCGTCAAATTGCTCGCCTCAAAGGGCGCACCCTTGCAGGTTTGCATGCGCAGGTGCAATGAGGATGGGGCCTGAGAATCTGAGGCCGCGATGAACTGTGAAAATCTATCCTGGTCTTCGGTGCAAATAAACTGCAAGAAGGGGAGAGACATGGCGTTCCTCGCGTCCTCCTCTGGGTTCTTGATCTGCAACATGGCCAAAGTGTTTTGAGAAGGCTCGACCATCTCTAAACGATCCGTGAGTTGCTCACAGCAATCACAGGTCACCGAGAGCAGTCGTCGGGCGGCGGCCAGCAGGTCATCGGTTTCTTTCCTGCTCCGTTCTTTCTCCTTTCGGGTCGGGCGTGTGTTTTCGTGCAAATACCGAATACGGGTATATAGCAGGATGGTGAGAATCTGAACAGATCTGAACAGTCGACCCATCAGGAATCCCCAAAATCCACTCAAGGAAGGTTCCCCACCATCGTTCTGATTGACTCGGTGCACCTCTCCTGGACTTGATCCTCCAAGTCAATGGTGGTCCGGAGTAGCTTGCCCAAGAGAAAGTCGATATGTTGCAAGATCAGGTAAATGAAGATGGATGTCAAGATGTCATTCATCATGTACCTCAAGCAAGCATAGCAAGCGGCAATTGTAGCCCCCCAAAACAACCAACCGCTTCCACCATATTTCATAGGTGCAAACCCACATGTCATGAAAACATTAAAACATAGAAATCAGCACTTGATCAAAAGCAGGCAGTGCACAGGATCAGGTCAAAGGTCGTAGAAGTTTGCAGGCTGCATAAACACCCAGTCCGAACCAGGGATCTCCTATGAAAAGAGTGGTCGCCGCATAGGCGACCCCATTCACGTGTCCAAGCTGCTTTGGCATATCCTAGTGGGAGTCATACTTGGGAGGCATATTTGGACTAGAAGAATCCAGAAGAATATGACTCTCCAAAAGAACATATGAAACTTCATGAAACAGCACTTTGCCGACTTTTCCATGGCATGGGGACCTGCAGGTCTGAGGTATGTCGGATGAACTGATTGTTCCGAGTGCAGCACTTGTTCCATCGCCAGTAAACTTGGGCATAAGTAAGAAAGTAAGATCACGCTGATACGCTCTGTCCAACAAATATGACTGAAAACAACAAACAGCTTGCAACCAAGCCATGATCATTGGATCTCTCTTGGAGTTCTCTAGCTCCGCCGAGAACCGAGTCTTGGCCTCTCTTGGCCTTTGTGCCTTGAGACCTATAGGTCGCTCGTCCGAAGAAGCGAGTCTGGGCCGAGTCTCCACTTGCGAGAGCATGGACGCGATCGAAAAGGTGGTGGACATGAACCTTCGCTGCCATTTGGAGCTGTGAGCATCAGGTTGGCACACCAAGCGTAATCCCACCTCACGAAGGCTGGACGGGAGCAAAAAAAACCATAAATATCGGACAAAAAACATGTATCACTGTATCACGTAGTATTACATTTTTTTTGAGATGTTCACTGATCCTTTGTTTCCTCTTGGTTTCCTTTTGGCAGGTTCGTGCCCCGATCCGTTTAGATCGCATCGCACGTATGATCAATTCGAAGGGGCAACAGGAAATCTCAACAGTCTCCAAAGCTTCTCCTTTTTCCGCGTCCAGCGACCAAAGACACCACCAGACTCCACATGTGCATATCCTCACAGGCTGGCTTCGTCCAGGCTTCAGGCACACTCAAGCGTAGTAAAACCCAAACAAGCAAATAGACTTCGCCTCAGGTGGACACTTCGCAGTTCAGTTTCCGCAAAATTCCAGGAGCCAAATTATAGTGCAAGCGCTTCCTTGAAGAACAGCTATCCTGTGTCCTAGCTAGGAGCTCCCTTACTTGATTAACTAAGGGAAGGGCTCAAAAGGAAAGATGGACTTCACCTCACGTGGACCGGCGAAAACATGTCCGACAACCACCGCTCCGGTGAACTACGGTGAACGTTCGTTTGAACGTTCGTTTCAGGAAGATGCCCTTTAATCACTGGGTCATTGTCATTATATGTCATAACATAGTCGAGTCTGAGCTCTTTCTTTTACCAGTGGATCCTTAGAAGTGTTTGCTTTGACGGTGCACCCGAATACACACCCACATGCGGCTGGACTGGCAAGTATAAATCTAACATTTGGTGTATATACATACGTTGATCCCCCAGCTTACCCGATAAAGTCTCATCAATCAGCTCTCATAATATGCACATGGGGGAAGAATTCCTCCCATCACTCAAACCAATGTCAACCTATGGAGGCCCTAGGTCTTGACCCAATCCAACTGCACTCTGTAAACATCGAGAACAACCATAGTAATCGCCTACAGGGCTCGGGGTCCAATGTCTTGTTCCTGACGGTAGAGTACAGTAGAGTATGCAAGAAACATACTAGAAGTGAGTTCACTGGATTCCACTGGTCTTGTGGCAATAAGGCCAGAATGCACAATCTTGTGCCGCAGCTCTCCCCCTGTCGCCCTGAACACCAAACCGCAAAAAAATAAACAACACTTCAAAAACTTCTAAAAACACGTAGAACCCTGCGGTCAGCTGTTCACTCGTTAGTAACTATATAATTAGATCTAATTAGTATATATTAGTCATGCTGTTTCCAACGAGAATACCCTATGGTTCAGACTGGCCAAGGTGTGACAGAAGCATGTATGTAAAACATGTGTTTTAATGGTTTGGTTATGGTTTTGATATGATTTGCTGTTATGGCTTTGTTATGGTTTCTCAAGTTAGTGGTTTTCTGCTCATGATTTTGTTATGGTTTTGATAGGATTTGTTGATATGGAAAAGGCAAACCATACTAAAACCATATCAACATCATAACAAAACCATAAGCCTTACACTTTTCTTATGTTTGTTTTAATGGTTTTCTTATGGTCCAGCCACCCAAGCCCTCCTCCCCCCACAAGGGAACCTTTCTTCCAAGCTCGTGGCCCACTCAAAAGCCTTCTGGTAGCCTTTCCAGGGCCTGGAATCCTGGAACCTGCCTCCGTCCCTCGCAAAAGGAAAACCATATCAAAATCATAACCTCCAACCATATCAAAACCATAACAAAACTGTAAAAAAAAACTCAACCCCCAAAACTGGCCTGTTACAGGTTTAGCCAGTCATAACCCTGTGGCCCTATAGCCCCTATGGACGCGGGACTTCAAAAACACCCACATGTTTGCCCAAAAGAGATGCTCACTCCAACGATGGCCAGGTCGCCCGTCTTGGTAAAAATGGGCACCCAATTGGGCATGGCATTCTGCCGGAACTCTTGCAGCCGACTCTGCACAGTCAGATCTGCACCAGGCACCTGCTGCGGCGTCCAAAACCGGGGGGAGCGGTGCGTCCCCGGTGCCAACTGGGTGGAACTTGGGAGCGTGGAGCTTCAGTTCCAAACGGAGGTCTCCCAACGTCACACCCCAAAGGGATCCACTGCCACCTTCTCAGAAGGTACAACTGGACCCTCTAAACCGCCAAAGATAGCCAAAGTGTCTCCAGATCACCCTTTTCAAAGGTTTATGACTGGGAGTCATAGGGACCATTGAAACCGCACGACGAAAAAGGCCACCGATGTGATGACGTCCTTCCATGGCCCGCCGACGTGCGAGTCGGAGCGACGTGTCCGCACCGTCACCGACGAGTCCAAAGGTGTCCAACGGGTGCGTCGGATGGCACCATCTGCAAGTTGTCCATGTGAATGGCGCGCGCGCGCGAAAAAGCTCGTAGCAAACATTGCTCTATAGTAGTAGTAGTAGTAGTAGTAGTAGTAGTAGTAGTAGTAGTAGTAAGGCCAGGAGCCCCGTTCGTAGCGTCCGATCGCTCCTAGTAGCGATGCCAGGAGCCCCTAGTAGCTTCTTGTTCCTCAATGGCGGCAGATGCGCCTGCCCCGGCTAGCTGCAATCTGGAAAGCGCTTGCGCCATCTCTTCCGCTTGCTGAGCGTACGCTTTCAACAGCAAACAGCAAACAAATCACGCCGGAACACGGCGCCGCAATGACACTCGTCACCTCTGCACCAATCTGCTGCCAAGTGCAGGCACCGATTTGCAGCGTCGTTTCTCAAGATCCGCCTGCCAAAACAAAAATCCACACACAAAAGATCGCGAACAAGATAATAGTCCTCCAAGCGCTCCGGCATACAATAGGGAACACAGCGTTCCTGCTCAAAAGCCAAGGAAAACTGCCCAAGCAGCCTGTAAAAACTTACCCAGTGCTGGAGCAGTTCGCGGTGATGCGCACGATCTACCTGCCAAACAAAGAGGCAATCACACAACACTTGTACGAGTACCACGGGCAAGCCGCGGCAAGATCTTGACGAAGTCGCTGCATATTTGCTGCATCCTGTCCAACAGAAAATCAAAGGACCCACACCCCAAAGATTTCCTAGATATCTTGTGGGTGTGCCAGTGCCATCTACTCTGACACTGTAGACGAGCACACGACCAGAAACACACCCCCGACCCTTTCCGACTCACTCACTGTTCCGACTCACTGTTCCATGTTTGGTGGAAACCAAGGAAGTGGGAGTGTTCCATGGATCCATGCTATGTGAAGTTGGTGTCGGTGTATCCTGTGTAACCTGTGTTCCCCATGTTTGGCCGGTCCTGGGCAGCAGGCGCTTTGGTCAAGAAGTTCTTCCAGGCTTCCAAAACATCTGGAAGACGAAGATGCCAGGCGATGGCTGCATAAGCACACAGTAGCGTTACAAGGAAGCTCCAGTTATCCATATGCTGGAGGGGGTGAATCTAAACTCCAGCCTCTAGTTCCAGAGCCAAAGAGAGCTGCAAAGTGGCACACCCTAATACCTTTAACTTCAACATCGGGGGATGTCTGAACCCCACCAACCCGACGGCCCGCCAAGAGGCGCGGCCGGCGAGCGCGCCCAAACTGGAATCCCGCCACTTCCGCCAACCTGGAAGAATTGGATGGTTCCTGTGGTGGGTCCATAAACAGATCTGAAAAGAAGAAGCTGAGTTGGACAAGTGTCTAAAACCCAAAGACCCCCCAGCCAGGCCACCAGAATCTGTCCGCCCATCAAAGCGCAGGGAGTGGCGCTTTTCTTCGCCCATGGCGATCAGCCGCTGGGTGCTCGTGGGAGTTTGGAGTTGGGACGCTGCCAGGCACCAAATGTTCACCGTCGGGCCTAGGACTCCATTGATTTAACATGGCCCTACTTCAGGGCACCAACATGGGAAACTCTCGATGATGTTCGCTGATTCTCACTTCCTGATATAAAAAGAGAGAGAGAGAGAGACGTCCCAACCTGCTGATGTGCTTGGAGTTCTTTCGGCTTGATCAAACAATTCAACACAGCCAAGCTTTGGGTCCTGTCCAAATCTTCTGCAGGAGGAGGTTTCGTCATGGATTTCACAGACTTGAGACGTCTACAACGTGTCTACAACAACCTTACCGTGGGGTCGGTGCACATCACGTGCCGCAAGGACGGGCGATTGGAAGCAAGGCCGAGCGGCTGCCATTGAGGTGTGGTTGACTCGGGGAGTGGACTTCAAAAGGCAAAAGAGTAATTTCATCAATGTCGTAGAAGGCGGAAGTGGTCTTGGACTTCCCATATACCAGGATCAATAGCAATCAAGAATAATATACTGTACCAGGATCCATGTAATTGATCCTATAGATGTCCTAAGTCCTACATAGTTGCTGGGTCAAACCCTCCAAAAGTTCAGGACATAGCGCTTTGAGGTGGCTATCACACACGGAGCTCATCGACGCAAGCTTTCACCGTGGATTTGCAACAAAACAAGTCAAAAACAATCCCAATCCCTGGATTCCACTAATCATTATTTATACTGCTTTAATGTTCTGTTTTTGCTAAGGCTAGGGGGTCTTAGACCACAAGACCAGGCGAACGGGCCATGATTCCTCTTGTTGGGATGCGTGCCAAACACCCTGAACCGAGCCACCGGTCTAGCTCCGCTTGACCGCTGCCCAGCTCAGTGGCCTTGTCTCCCGGCTTCGCCAAGAGCTTTTTGATCCATTCCTCTTTTGAAGGCACCGGCTCTCCAGCCTGGCCATTTGCACCCACTGTTGGGGGGATGTTTGGAAGAGAGTAACACAGTGAATACCAGTGAATTGGTGTTTGGACGGTGCCAGTATGGAGATCTGTCATCTGTCATCATCGGTTGATAAGGTTTGTCGGGCATTCCTCTCAACATTCAAACATCGCACCTTGATTTTCGGCGCAAAGACGCCTTTCAATCACCTTCTTCCAATCTCAAACCCTGCTGCGTTGAGACACGCAGACTCGTCCGCAAAATGTCACAGACCTCTCCATGCCATGTAAGATTGATCCTCATAGTGGGTGTTTCCAATTGCGGTGAAGAATGACGCATGTCCTTCCGGAGGTCTTAATCTACACCCTCTCACCATCCTCACACCATCCTCACCCTCCATCCGGTTTCCCGTCCCTTCGTCCGTTCGTCGTCCCGCACCCGCACGGCGATATGAGCCGGGGCGGTCTTGGGATCGATGTATTTCTCCGCATAGGCCTTGTCCTGGCCGGACTTCCCCTCGGAAGGCGGCGGTGGGACCGGTACATGGTGTTGTGCTGAACATGGTTAGAACATGGTTAGAAGAGAAGATGTGCCCAACAATGATGGGGCAAAGTATCCCAAAATATGTTATATAGTTATATAGTGTTATATAGCCACATTGAAAGCAAGTCGCCCCTCGTGGAGTTCCACCCATAACATCATGGGACAAAGCTCCGAAGTTAGCAAGGCCCAATCCAGCGCCAATCAAGGGTTTAACCTTACAAACCACATGGGACTAGTTGGGTCTATAGGTATATCATACATAGTTCAATGATGTTCAATGCGTACACTAAATCAGACGGTCAAGTTACTAGTATATACCAGGGTCACATTGACATGACAAAAGTGTCCACTCCATTCAACCAAAAACATCCAAAAACACGTTCCGCCTCGAGCATGTCCACGATGCCACAGGCAACCTGAGGTTGTATAAAAACCCCCTATCCTTTTGCCTTACCACTTTTGGCGTTATATCTTTTTTTCTTCCTTATCGTTTTACAGTACTTTTGACTAACTGCAACATATGTAACATATGTAGTATACATGTGTGTGTGCACTGCGTGCATGTGGTGTGGAACCTGCAGACATGAAGACATTAGGTACAATTCCCCATGCTGGAGTCCATGCTAGAGTCCCCAGACAGAAGATCTTATTGCTGTCCATGGCGCTCACATGTGGTGGCCTACCTACACAAAGGTCTTTTAGGCTCGCTGCGTTATCGTTTTTGTTATCGCTTTGTTATCGTTTTGGTGCCTGGTGCAACTAGGATTTTTTTAAAGATTCTGCCCTGAAGAACGGGAGATGGTTCACACTCTGTTTGTCGAGCAGGGACTGTTCTTTCGGAGGCCCAGGAGACACTCCTTGTTGCTCCCTCTGTGAGGACATAAGCCTAAAACCACAAATAGAAACATGCCAAGGGATTTCCACGACAATCATCGGGGGTTATCCTTTTTTTTCTTCCTTATCGTTTTACAGTGGTTTGCAAATGCTCCAAGAAAAACGGACATGCGAATACTAATTCCCTGGGTGAGGGGTTTTTATAATCTCTCACCTGGTGAAGATCTGGGAATCTGCAAAAGGATGAGAAAAAGGCAAGATCAAATCTGTGGGGAGAATCTTGGAATCTTGCCTTGATCTTGCGGAATCGGAATCCCACCTTGATCGGAAGGCAACTCCTCGTCGTGGGTTTCGGCAAGATCAACCGTGGTTCCGAGGGTGAGGTGGCCAGATCGCCAACGCGACCCACACAAACCACACGACAAGCGATACAAAGCGACCTCACGCGGCCGGTATTCTATCCCCAAGCTAGGAGTACAAGATCTTAGCCCAAAAAGATCCAAAAGGTTACTTTTGAACATAGGTCCTGCATGGCCCTGCACTAAGCCATTTCTGGTGTAGCTCCAGTTCAGGTTTGGAATTTTCTAGCTTTGGCTGTGTAATTAATTTTTTTAGTGGCCAGTCAACCTATACAAGGATCAAAAAGGACCCGGCGTCGAGGGGAAGTGGACCGAGCCCCAAAACACCACTTGAAGATCTTGGCACCTCGACCCTGTGAAACCGATGCGCCCACAGCGTAGACCCCCGAGGCTCTGACTCTGGACCAGCGAAGATCTTTGCACGCCTCACAGCAGCCGTGGACGGCTTCGCTCCCGCTTCCGTCATGCCCATCAGCGTTTCTCCGACAGGTTACAACAGAAAACAAAAACGGTCAACTCTCACCTGGCAGGTGGGGAAAGGAAAATCAAACACACAGAAACACGGTTTTCAGGGTTGAAGCGGTTGAAGGGGACCTCTGGTGGCGCCCCCTTTGTCAGACGGTCCCAATGGGTCCGGATGGGCACCGGATGGTCTTCGGGTGGGCTTCGGTGGATGCGCTTGCTGGAGAGTGAGGCGGATGGACGGAGCCGGATGCCGGATGCAACTGTTTCTTGAAGGCTCAACTCAACAGGCTCATTGTCCCATTTTCCGAGCTCTCTAAGGGTCCAAGCACCAAGAAAGAAAGGACTGTTACATCACCAGCACTCGACTCCAAGTCTCCCAAAACTTGAGACTTGGTCCGGGGCATCCTCTTGGGGCTGGGACAGGCAAGGAAGACTCTTCTTAATGGAAGAATCTTGAACTCGATCTATTCCGAGGTACAAGGCAAGGTGCAAAGTTGTCATGCAAACTGAATTTGCCCACCAGCTTTCTCACACATAGACCATCAAACCATACTTTGGGCAAGTAGGATATCCATGGATAACCATTCTCAATTGAGGATTGAACCGTAAACACATCTTCCAAATCATCATCGCACACATGCCTATCTACCTGAAAACGTATCCCGTCCCCAAAGCCCTGGATCCGTTCCAACGACTTTAGAACGAAACATATCGAACAAAAGTAAACATAAACATCAAACAAATTTCCTCACAAAAGTCGGTGGTCTTATTTATCTTCGTTGTTTTCTGTCCCATGGCGGCCAGTCTCCAAGTCCTGCCCGAAATGCTTCGGATCCTCCATGACCCGGCCCGCCGACCTCATGAAAGCCAGCGATGATGGCCCCCTGACGGCGGTTTTAGCTGGTTTTACTGGGTGCGGTGTGGAATCCAAGCTGGTGGACGGTTCATTATAGATTGAAACAGGATCGTCACACAACAAGGAATTTAAATGGGTGTGTATATATATATATACTATATTATATATAACTATATCTATTCCCAGAAAGGAACTTGTTGCAATGTTTCCTTTAGGATGGCAATTTAACTGTGTTCTCCTTCACTGCTGGGATTCAACTTTAAACTGTGATATGTTTCTACGGCGAACAACCTGGAGTGAAAACATACTACAAGCGCCAGCCTGTTCGTCACCTTGACCCAATGCCTGACTTGCCAGCCTTGCTCTTTGTTGTCATGTCTTTTTCCCATTTGAGCTTGATCGCCGTCTGACATACCGCAAAATGGCTCAAGGCAAAGGCGGCAAAGCATGGCCATCTACAGAAATGGAACACTGACGTCACTCGACTCTACACGACAGTCTCGTGTGTCTTCTGAAAAAACAAGATGGAGCCCACGAACCCGAATGCAAACACGTTCACAAAGTTACGTATGTCCAAATGACACTCTTGTAGGACACTCTTGCGGGACACTCTTGTGGGACACTCCTGTGGGACACTCATTTGGGACACTCTTGTGGGACACTCTTGTGGCGCTTGTGGGGCACTCTTGTAGGACACTCTTGTGGGACACTCTTGTAGGGCACTCTTG